GTGTGTGTATTATATAGGGGATGTGCTTCCTGTGACATATGGAGGAACCCTACCACATTCTAGCTGGAATTGAGTGTCACCTTGGTCTAAACGGGTCCTTTATGTTACCAACGTGTTTGTGTTTCTCTAGTCTTTTAGTTCTGGTTATCCTCAACATGATGCTGTTCTACCGGCTGTGGTCTCTGGAGCACACAGCCCGAACCGTGGAGTCATGGCAGACGTATGCGCTCTCCAGTGGGTGAGAAAGACTCTCTGGGAAAGAGAAAAGAGGAGACTGACTTTCCTACTCTTAGAGATTTTGAGAATTTAATGCAAGCTAATGTAGCAATATAGGGATACGGTGGCTTAGTGGCTAAGACGTTGAGCTTGTCGATCAGAAAGGTCGGCAGTTTAGTTTGAATACCTAGCGCCGCATAATGGAGTGAGTTCCCGTTTCATGTCCCAGCTTCTGCCAACCTGGCAGTTCGAAAGCATGTAAAAATGCAAGTAGAAAAATAAGGACCACTTTGGCGGGAGGGTAACAGCATTCCGTGCACCTTCAGCGTTTAGTCCTGCCGGCCACATGACCACAGAGACATCTTCGGACAGTGCTGGCTCTTCGGCTTTGTAACGGAGATGAGCACCGCCCCCTAGAGCCGGAAACGACTAGCACGTGTGTGCGAGGGGAACCTTTACCTTACCTAATGTAGCAATAGCACTTAGACTTAGGTACCACTTCATAGTGGTTTACAGCGCTCTGTAAGAGGTTTACAGAGTCAGTATGTCGTCCCCAACAATTTGGGTCTTCATCTTACTGACCTCGGAAGGACAGAAGTTTGAGTCAACCTGAGAATCGAACTCCTGACAGTGGAAGGCAGAGTCAGCTTGCAATATTGCATTCAAACCACTGCACCATCACAGCTCATGGATTTGGGGCCCTGAATTTTCTCAAAAATCTTGGCAAGATGCAGTTTGAATTGAGGGAAAGGGAGAACAATCTTCTCAAGGTAGCTTATTGCTGGTTTAATATAATTTAGCATTTATGTCAAGAAATAATTAGCCCCTGGAAGAATAGCAACGAAAGGCATTGAAAAAGGTATTCTGATGTCTGGATGAGCCAATATGGACAGACATCAGACTATGCAAGCAGTGGGTTTCCTTGGGACACCTTAATAGAAGTGAAAGTTGGACTTTGAAGCAGCAGCTTTGGATCTTAGCTGTTGGACAACACTCCTTGAGAATATCACGGAGAGCCAAGAAAATCAGCTATAGATAGATCACAGAACAAATCTGTTCAAGCCTTCTCACTCAACATACAAATAGCCAGATTCAATTTTTCGTACTTTGGACACCTTATGTAAAGACGTAAGCCCCTTAAGAAGTTAATAATGGTGAAAAAGCTGGAAGTAGAGAGAGAAGAGGATGACCACCAGTAAGGTAGATGGATTCAATTGCAATGGCTGTACTTCTGGAAGAACTGAAGGAGAAGGGCGGGAGAGATCATTCCAGAGAAGGTCTGTCTATGTGACTGCTTAGAGTAGATGCTGACTTGATGGTACATAATCCCATCAGTCCATCACTGGCATTTATGCTGGCTGGGGAATTCTAGGAGTTGAAGTCCACATATCTTAAAGTTGCAGAGGTTGAGAAAGAGCATAGCTCTGCTATGAAAATGTTTTTAAATTAAGACAAAATTAAATCAGGTATATTTATACCTGTGATGCTTTTGAACTCTAAATCAAAGCCACTAATCAGTTTGACCATTTTGCTTTGCAAAATCTTGATGCTTAAAATGTAAAAAAAAAGTAGTCATAACAAAATTGTATCTTATTGTTGAAAGGCTGGGTATAAATCAATAAAGACATAACAGAAACCAAAACGGATACAAGTGGAATGATAAACATATCTATTATCAGAATATTTTAAAGCAGGTCAGGAACCCTCAAAAGGAAGCCAAAATTATTTACATTCCTGGCTGAGTTATATCTTCAGTGGTAAACCAAGATTTGACACTGTGTGAAACGATGATGAATTATGCAGCATATTTTAAAATAATTATTGTAACTGTAAAGTTTTTCCAGTGCTAAACAGTGATTAACTTAAGACTTAAAATTTGTTTTGAGCACAACTTTGGAAAACATACTGTCTAACATTGAATGTTCTGGGCTATTGCCTGGAAAAGCATAACATAATTCAAATAAACATGTCAGGCTTTTAGTCTTTCCCTAAGGAGGACAGAGAATCAATTCTTTTAAGTGAATTTATCTTATAAAGTAGCTAGGATAAAACAAAGAAAGGATACCACTTTTCTTTAGGAAAAGTGAGATATAAATGTATGTTAAGCAGGTGGATGAATACCGAGGGTCAGTAAATTATTTGAAATACTATGCGACAGGATTTAGGAAGCTGATATCCTTTGCCTTTCTATAGCCAATAGAATTAATCAATTGCTCTCTAATAAATGTAGTCCTCTGAGTGGAATAAAATAGAATACAATAAAACAATATAAAACCCAATGAAAAAATCCCACAGTACAGTAACCGAGAGAAAATCATTGGCAATAAAGTGCTGTGAACTTCCCACAGTTTTTAAAACGCTTGAGCCAATGAAATGTTTTTTGTTTGACGTAGTGAAGTTGTAAGATAGGTACCAGAGTCTTTTGAGGAAGCATTCCTAAAACTTGGATCCTGCCGCGTTTGGAAGGATGCTTGAGAAAAGTTTTCAGATGAAGTCCATCCATCAAGATTGACCAACCAAGAATTGGATGTGTCTTGCAAGCTCCAGAAACCCCAGGTAGATGCAAGCTGATTTTCTGATAGACCCAACTTGCTTCTAAAATAGAATTATAACCTTCCCTCCATACCTCTAAAGCCCAAGAGCTGTCGTGGTGCAGTGGTTAGAATGCAATATTTCAGGCTAATTCTGCCGACTGCCAGCAGTTTGATTCTCACCAGCTCAAGGTTGACTCAGCCTTCCATCCTTCTGAGGATGGAATGAGGACCCAGGTTATTGGGGGCAATAGGCTGACGATGTAAACCACTTAGAGAGAGCTGTAAAGACTGTGAAGCGGTATATAAGTCTAAGTGCTAGTGCTATAAAATCTCACCCCCTCTGGTATGTTTTTAGCCATAAAACAAATCACTATTTTAAAAAGGTTACTGAGAAGAGAATATAGCTTCTGGCAAAAGGTTGCTCCCCCAGCCTTAGAATCAGGGGAATTAGGTTCTGGAAGGCCAACTGGCTTCTACATTAGTGATGGGTGTGATCATTCATAGGAAGTGAACTCAGGGAGCGGGTACCACTGCTGATCCATTGCAGTTAAGAGATTTCTGTCTCCTTCTTGCTTGGCAGGAAGCTTCCACAGACGGCCTCGGAATGGGCAGAGATTTTGGAGTTGCAGAAACAGTTCCATAGCGTGGAGGTGCAAAAGTGGAAACAGATCCTGAAGGCATCAGTGGAACTTCTGGATGAGGTTTGTTCTCCAGTCTGAATGTTCCTCCAGTCCAGCTAAGCTCATAGAAAATGTGAGAAAGGATGCTCCAACCCTTGGTTTCCAGAAGCCCCTTTTTAGAGCCAGAGATTTCCATCAGATGTTGACCAAACAGAGGATATTAAGATATATCAGACGTCATTCCTTCATCATTGTTAGGCCTGATGGATGTTGAAGTTCAGATGGGGAGGAAGGCACCAGAGTGTTTACCTCTATACCAAAAATTTTGAAACCAGCTTTTTAAACTTCAAAGCAAGGGTTTTCTTTCTGAGGGTTTCTTGGAGGCACCAAATCCAGTGATGGGAGGAGCGCAGATTCCCCATCCATACTTAACAAAAAGACAGAAAATCTAAAATCTTAGGATATGGAATTGGGTACCCAACATTCACACTTGACTATGAACTGCTATGGTGACCATTTAAGCAAACCTTTAATACCCCAGTTCTCTCTCAATGTGTTGAAATAATTGTATGGGCAGTATCACCTCGGGAAGTCACAAGATTGCATAGGTCTGGCTTAAGGCTCATTTACGTGTGGAGTACAAACATGCACTGAAATGCTGATGGGATCTTTGCCCATAGGTTGGGTTCAACCAGTACTTTAATATTAGGGGACTGGAGGGTAAAACATATGAAGAACGGTTACAGGAACTGGGTATCTCTAGTCTAATGAAAAGAAGGACTAGGGGTGACATGATAGCAGTCTTCCAATATCTGAGGGGCTGCCACAAGAAAGAGGGAGTCAAGCTATTTTCTAAAGCACCTGAGGGCAGGACAAGAAGCAAAGGCTGGAAACTAATCAAGGAAGAAACAACTTAGAACTAAGGAAAAATTTCCTGAGTGAGAACAATTAATCAGTGGAACAGCTTACCTTCAGAAGTTGTGACTGCTCCAACACTGGAGGCTTTTAAGAAGATGTTGGATAACCATTTGTCTGAAGTGGTGTAGGGTTTCCTACCTAAGTAGGGGGTTGGACTAGAAAGACCTCCAAGGTCCCTTCCAAGTCTTATTCTATTCCAATATCTTTGGTTGATGGTTCAGCAGTGTTTTGTGAAATCAACCAGTTCTGCCTTGTCCAATGAAATGTGGAGTTTACTGTGTTACATTGTGGGATCCGTTGTTTGGTTTTGAAATAAACAATCACCAGCCAAAAACTTCCAAGAGAAAACAACGGTAATTTTATTTACTGCTTTGCAAAGGGGGTGCCCCCCCCCCATGCACACGCGGGTACAGTGGACACACCCTAAATCAGGGGTGTCAAACTCAAGGCCCAAGGGCTGCATCCAGCTCACGGGGTGCTTAGATCTGGCCTGAGGGGCTGCCCTGGAAACAGCAAAGGACAAGCTTGCGGTGCCTCTGCCAGCGAAAATGGGGATTGGGAGGGCTACACATGGCTGTCCCAGGGCTCATTTTTGGCCACAACAGCTACTTGCAGTCCTCTGCCAGTGAAAATGGAGCTTGGGGGGGCTGCGTGTGGCTCCCCTGAAGTGTCATTTTTGCTGGCAGAGGGTTGCAGGAGGCCGTCACGGCTAAAAACAGGGCCTAGGAGCCCATTTTCGTTGGCAGATTGCTTGGGCCATCACAGGTGCCCTTGACACGAATGACGTCATGCTGGCTACGCTCCCAGCCAGGCCCACCCCGGCCCCCTGAGGTAAAACACAACCTTGATGCGACCCTCAATGAAATGGAGTTTGACACCCTTGCCCTAAATCATCAATATATTTGCCTTATATTCCCTATTGCCATTCCAAATTTACCTCCCATCTTTTCCTCATTGGCTTAGTACTCATGCCGTCACAACCTATCTGAAGCGTCAGAAGTGAATAACATTATCTCTGCCCCCTAATTACATCTCCCTGTGCTCTAATTCTATCACCCACTGCTCCCTTTTATTTTATTTTTATTTTATTTTATTTTAGGACTTTTTATGGTCCTAGTTCCTGGAGGTTGTCTCTAGAGCAGGGATCTCCAACCTTGGCAACTTTAAGACTTGTAGACTTCAACTCCCAGAATTCCTCCTCCAGCCATGTTAGCTCAGGAATTCTGGGAGTTGAAGTCTTAACCTTGCCAAGTTTGAAGACTCTTGCTCTAGAGGCGTGATGGCAAACCTATGGCATGGGTGCCACAGGTGGCACGCAGAGCCGCAGGCAAACTTACCTCACTGCACATGTGCGTGCCTCACAGCTGATTTTCGGCTGGTTTAAGGCTTTTTTCGGCTTCCCCAGAGGCTTGAAAAAAGCCTCTGCAGGCTTTGCAGGACGAATAGGCCCATTTCATCATTTCCTGTAATACCGGAAGTGACAAACAGCCCTATTTGGTCTGCAAAGCCTGCAGAGGCTTTTTTTTCAAGCCTCTGGGAGGCCAAAAAAGGCCTCAAACCAGCCAAAAATCAGGTGTGAGGCACAGTGCAGGTAAGGGGGGGAATGCACATGCATGCGCAGGGGGCGTGGTGGGCATGCGCATTGCCTTCTGGGTGTTGGCACGCAAGCCCAAAAAGGTTAGCCACCACTGCTCTAAAGTAACTTATCAATCAGGAAATTCTAGTTAAGGCCGGTTTTTAGCATAGCAGAGGCCTTGCTACATACAATTCTCAAGCTTCAGCCTAGCTCATGAGATTAGAAACATACACGACGTATATTTTCTTCCCAGGCTAGCATGTCTTCTTACCGTTCTGCAAAAACAATCGGCTCCGTTTCCCACAACGTGAACACAACAACCCCAGCTTCCTTCTTGTTGGTTGGGGCCTGGCTTTCCTCTCTGGGGAATGACTTACTCTTCTCTTTCCACCAGATGAAGCTCTCCCTGGAGAAGTTGCAGCAAGGCATCATGGTGGCAGAACCCCCGTTGGAACCGGAGTGAAGGCACAGTACCTTCCCCCCTCTCTCTCTCTCTTTTGAGAAGGTTGCTGAGTTACCAGAAAGAAGGCTCCTGAGATCTATCTCAGAAACTGTTGAACCAGTGGCGTGGACATCCTGCGGGAGGAGACAGCACCGGGCTCCTCGCCAGATCCATCACCTTGGACATTATCCTCAAGGGTTGCCCCTGGTAGCGATGGGTCTCTTGGTTTTTGCCGGGAACATCTTTCTTGGACCATTCTCCCTGGGATAGTTCCTGTAGGGACTTCTCTTTATCCCTTTCCCCACTCCAGTGCTATTTTTATTGCAGCCAGGACCTTCCGAGAATCCTTGATTTTCCTGTATCCTGGCACCGGTCCTTTTATTTTTCTTTCCCCCAGCTATTGTTTGGGGAGGAAGGGATCAGTTTTGGGGAAGGGGGTGTCCTCTGGAGCTGGGATCTCTCTTTTGCCCTGAAACTTCACTCAGCAGCTAAGACACCCTAATGGAGGACAGCAAAAAACCCAGTCCTGCCATTCTCTTAGTCTGCCTCTCTAACGCACAAGCGATCATGAACTGACGGCGGGGCAAAAGCAAATCAGAGGCGCCAA